ATGTGGAACCACTGGATATCTAGCAGCTTCCGGATGTCCTCATGAGCATCAATGCTCCGCTGAAACGTCTCAGACATCGACTGCTGTTCAGTTAACTCTGATAACGTCATGGTACTTCAGCTTTGTTGCATTAAAATATATTCTCAATAACATGAGGAAAACATTATTTGAACTATTTTTATAGGAAATTAATAAACAATCTTAGGAAGCAGGCTGAGGTAGCAAACTCATATATTAAAAGTGCAAAACATTGAAAAATGTATAATCTTTCAGTTAAGTCCCGTTTGAATCTTCTCAATGAACTTTGACTTCTGCACACAGCATAGACATAGAAGAGTAGACGCTGCACCAACCGCTACTGCCTACTTTTTTATAAACTCTATAGTTAACAGGATGTTTTAGCTGGGCTTTAGCTCCGGAAAAGCTCCGTGGAGATCTGGAGCTAGAACGGCGAAAGAACGCGTTCAAATTATTATTAACGAAATATGTATTTTTTTTTTGTGTCCTGTCTGGCTGTGAAGCAAACAGAATTAATGTCTGAATGCTGGTGAGAAGGCTAACAGATTTTACTCTCAGGTGGAGCATCAAAGCGTCTGCTTTTAATGTCACGCCTGATACTTAAAACTTTATTGTTATTGTTTTTGAATGCTTTGTAATTTCGACCAGACACGGAGTCAGAGGTGAGAGAGAAAGGAAGAGACAAAAGGTGTGTGTGTGTGTGTGTGTGTGTGTGTGTGTGTGTGCATTCTGGGATTGGGTTCCACAAAAATAAACAATCAATGATGAACAAGAGTCTGCTTCTAGACCTGCAGAGAAGGGACACACAACAATACAACAGGAGCAAGCTATCACTGCATCAACTTGATGAAGAAATATATAATCAACATTGTTTAACTGAACAATCACACGATAATAAATCACAGTGCATTTAGTGGCAACCACAGCCTTAAGACATGTGTTGAACATGCCCAAGTCCATACCTTTGAGAGCACCATGTGAGCACCTGTGTGTGTGTACACGCACTTGTTTATGTAAGGTTTCTCTATAGGAGCGTCTAATAGAGTGTGAGGGACCACAGATCCGCCTCCAAAGATGTGTTGGAGTTGGAGGGAACTCCAAGTCCCAGAGATCCAGGAGCTGCCCCAGAACACAGGAACCCCAAGGAGACCGCGACCAGAAAAGCCCCGCCCCCCTCGAGAGGCGCAGATGATTGCCCAAGGGGGCCACAACCAGGAGCCAGCAGAGTCCCCGGAGATATCGGCGGCAAGCCCACAGGCCCGCCCACAGCCTCCCACCCCCCAGCTGGCTGATCCCGGGATCCAGCAACCCGGGACCCAGGGGCGACCACCCCCGCCGGGGACCCAGCAGAGCCCAGGGATCCCCGACCCCACCAGGCAGCCACCGAGATTGATCAGGCAGACGCCAAAAAATCTTAAACCCCCTGACCCGGGAGCCATGAACACTCAGGCAGACCAAGGCACCACACTCCACACCAGGTGTGGCAGGGGGAGGGTAGGCAAAGTTGTATAGCATCAAAAGAAGTCCCAGGAGAAGAGAGGAGTCAAAGGCCCCACCTGACATATAGTCATACACAGACACAGTCACACACTCCCTCCCTCATGCTCACACATGCATGCAAGCTGACTGATAGATCCACCTCCCATTTTTCACTAGGGATTACTATTCTATCATCTATTTTGGACAGTGTCTTATATACTTTAGACAGTAGTTTGGGGGGTTTGAGATTTTAGAAGTCTAATACCCTTGGTGGTGTTTGTAATTCTATTTTATTGAGCTTAATTTTTTGTTTTACTACAGATTTAATTTGGTGATATTCTAAAAAGCTATTCTTATCTACAGCATTCCAAATTTGGAGACTATTCTATTAAATGGGATGAAATCCCAAAAATAAAAACCGCGTTCATAAACCCCTTCACGCATGCCAGGACGAGCACACTCACTTTTACGTTTGTCAGGCAAAATACGAATGAGTTCAGTTCACGTTCACGAAAAAAACGAACGAATTCAGGAACGATCATTCGATGAACGCGTTTGGGCACAACACTGCTGGTAACTGTCCCAGAATTAGTAGTTACTAGCCTCTACTAGCTGTCCCAGAGTTATTATTTACTAGTCTCTAGTAACTGTCCCAGAGTAACTAGTTACTAGTTTCTAGTAGCTGTCCCAGAGTTATTATTTACTAGTCTCTTGTAACTGTCCCAGAGTTACTAGTTTCTAATTACTGTCCCAGAGTTACTAGTTTCTAGTAACTGTCCCAGAGTTACTATTTACTAGTTTCTAGTAACTTTCCCAGAGTTACTAGTGACTAGTAACTGTCCCAGAGTTACTAGTTACTAGTCTCTAGTAACTGTCCCAGGGTTACTGGTTACAAGTCTCCAGTAACTGTCCCAGGGTTACTAGTTACTAGTAACTGTCCCAGGGTTACTAGTCTCTAATAACTGTCCTAGAGTTACTATTTACTAGTCTCTAGTAACTGTCCCAGAGTAACTAGTCTCTAGTAACTGTTCCAGAGTTACTAGTTTCTAGTCTCTAGTAACTGTCCCAGATTTACTAGTTACTAGTTTATAGTAACTGTCCCAGAGCTACTAGAGACTAGTCTCTAGTAACTGTCCCACAGTTACTAGTCTCTAGTAACTGTTCCAGATTTACTAGTTACTAGTTTATAGTAACTGTCCAAGAGCTACTAGAGACCAACTTGGTGTGCCACCCCAAACTTTTCACTATGGCCCCCTCATGAAAACCTTCTGGGGGCGCCTCTGTCATCACCCTTCATTATTTTTAAACATTGAGAAATACAGTTTGACTCATAGGGAGCCCATTTACGGGGCGTTCTCTGCTCCGATTCAGGCTGTGCTGCTGCTTCTGAACCCATATGAATGTTTTTAGCCTTTGATTTAATAAAACCATAAATAAACCATAAACCATAACCAAACTGGAAAATAAACCAGAAGAGATGAAAAAAGATCTTCCAGCGTCATTAAAAGATTGGATCTTTAAACATTTAGGTGACCTTTAAGGGTTGAAACGATAATTGAAGTTAGTTGATTCAAACAAACGTTTCTGCAAAAATGGGAAATTTCAGTTTAGTTCCATTTTTGAAACATTTCACATCTAACTTTTACGATTTTAATGAATTTAAATATGAACAACTGCTCCTGAAGAATGATCAGAACGCTCTTCCCCAGGTAAAAGCACAACAGTCCCAACAAGCAACAACAGCTGAGGGTTCAAAGGTCGCAGAGCTGAAACCCAGGCAGGATAAATATTCCCAGTGGGAATCTGAGGAGAACGTCCACATGGAACCGGGCTAGGATAGCACCACGTGGTACCGGAGGATTGAGTGACACGTCTGCAGCCCTGCCCTTAGGTATTCAAATGGTGAAAAGAGGAAAGTGGTGAGAATCCTGAATGACATTCACGTGTGGCCTCACACGGAACGTCTCCCTGAGGCGTGTTTAGCTGTCATGTTAGCTAAAAGGATTTATGAAAGGACAGATAACACACGAGCATGCCAGCACACATGCAGAGCAACCCACACGTCTTTTTACACACGCTTTAACCTCTTTTTCTCCGTTTAAACTCGATTTAACACGCTAAATTAACAGTAAATATTATAGTTTCCCCTTGGTTTGAGTTAATTTAACAGTTTCACATAGAAAATGTAAACAATGACATGATTTAACATCATTTTGTGCATTTTCTGAATTCTTGCTGCTGGTATTCATCAAAGTAAAAGCCTCAAATATTGTTTACAAAAATCATGTATTTAGATTAGATTCATGTGGATATTTTATTTCTTTATTACCTCTAACCTACATGGCTTACACAAAGTTTTTATCTGAAATTACCAGATGAAATGATTTTTCATGTCCTAATTGACTTTAACAGTTTGGTTCTGTCTTAAATGGCTGCAGCTGTCCTCTAAACGGGTCCAATGCTGCCATCTAGTGGTTATCTGCCGGATGTTTCTGTCCCATGCCAGGAGGTGAGAAGGTTCAAACAGGAATCAAAACATCACCAGAAACCTGCAGCGCCTTCTAGTGGGCGGCTGGAGTTCACCTGTTGGGTCACCTCTGGCCTGCCAGCAGCACAGCTGGGGTCCGGTCCGGGACTGGGTTTGCTGGGCGGTATTTATTCTGGCTGAGAGAACACGGGTGGCTCTGGGCCAGACTGAGTAACCATTTCATGCTTTTCATGACCTTTGACCTGGAATCCATTTGCACTTAATTTGGAGGCTGAGAAGATGGCTTTCAGATGCTGAAAACAGAATAAAATAACTTCAAAAAATCCCTAAATGAGGTGTTCTTCAGCGTGGACAGGTTTTGTCTTGTTTTTGTTTGGATGGCAGGGCAGATTCGCAGCGCCGACTTCAAAGTAAAACTGTGTAAAAGCTGCTCCGTTTAGCCAAACGCAGGATCTTTGCACCAACATTTGTCAGAATCAGCTAGTTTGTCGCACCGTTTTTATTAAATAACGTGCTTTTTCTAAGTGTTCAGATATAATCCTTTTTTTGCATCTGGACGCGTTAACAGGTCCCTCTCTAAGGTGTCGGGGTTACGCGTATCATTGTCCCTGTCACAGATAAAATATTCCTCGTTGAATTCCTACAATTATATTATTAAAGTGACTCTGAGATCTTAGAGAGGAGCTCACTGCATCCCACTTTTATTTTGATAGGATGCCTCTGTTTTACAGCAGTTACTGTTTGGATCTAAACTAAATATTAACACGACATTTATAGATTTCAACGTTTAGACATCATTTATAACGTTACAATCTGAAGAAAGTTTCAGCAAATATGAAAAAAAAAACGTTTTTTTTTAAATAACTCCCACTTCTCACTAGATGTGGGTAAATAAATCTAACAGTCAGCTGTTACGGGTCAAATTCAGATTCAGAAACCAGATGAAGTCCTTCATTTGTGACATTTGTCCATCAGGACCATGAGCGTAGGCGTTTAGGGGTGAGGAGGGCGTTACCTGATGGTTTCCTCCCTCCAGCTCCACGTGTTTGAGCTCCCAGAAGCAGCGCATCGTCTCCACCTTCTCCAGGTGTCGGTAGAAGGCCAGGTGGCCCAAACGAAGGCTGTTGCTACGGTTACGGATGGCCTTCAGTCCCTCCATCTTCTCCACGATGGGGGGCATGGGTATCGGTGGTGGCACTGACGACGAGGGCGCTCTACCATTCTTCTCACCAGAAACCGAATCGTCACACAAAGTCCTCTGATCAGACCTGCAGCACACAAACAGAAGAGCTTTAGGATGAAAGCGCTGCAGTCATCTTGAGTTTGTGACTCCGGCTAGAACTGTTAAAGGATCAGGACTTCTGCTGCTGCGAGGTCCCCTAACCCTAACCCTCTCGCCCAGCTCTAATCCACACTCATAAATGTTGATCCTCCCCTCCAGAGGATCTCAGATCCTAATGAAACGAGTGATGATGCTGTGCAGAAATCTGCCAGAGACAGCTGCTCTGCTCCTCCTGCGGAGCGTCCGGGGAGTCACAGGAGATCGCCGCAGATATTTATACCCTCCTGTGGAAATGGTTAGGTTGGGTCAGAACCAGGACTGAAGCGCGAATGTGGTCAGAACAGAGATTTTTGTCGGGCTTGGATGTCAGCTCAGCCTCTGAGGAGGAGTCATGGGACGCACCTGATCCAGGTGGTTGTGGATTGTTTATAAAGAGCAGAGCACGCTCTGACACGCCACAGACATAATAAAGGCTCTGGCGTGCCAGGAGGAGGACCCCGCATCCCTCCTGCTGTGGAGTGAATCTGAGCATGCCCTTGCTGTTGTCAGACACTCGTTTGTTTCTGGGGTAAAGAAACAAGCTGACCAGCCGTCCCGTTACCAGACTTTAGTGATCTAACCGTCATGATCCTGCCATGCCCTGACCTCCATGCACCATCATTCACCTCATCAGCCTTCATGCATCACGCCTGGTCCCCTCATCAAGTTCTAGCCAAGCCCCGTTTCCGCAGCAACCACAGTCAACTCACCATCAAGCTCATGCCACACACCTGCCTCACCAGCTATATATTCCACAGTCAACCACCAGCACTCTGCCAGATTATTGAACGCTCCTGCTAGTAGATCTTCCAGCCTTTTTACATCCTGCCTGCATCATAGCCTCCTGACCTCGTTTCCACGCCTGACCCTTGCCAAGGACTCTGCCTGCCACCACGACCCTCGCCTGCCTTCGAACACGCCTCCAGCCTGCTCCCTGTATCTGTTTTGTCTCGACCCACGCCTGCCTTCGACTCTGCCCGTACCCGAGTTTACTCCGGCAATACCTCCTATTAGCTTCAGGCTAATAAAGACTGTTAAAACATCTTACTGTGTTTGGTGTCATCACGGGTCCTCAAGTTCAGTCATTACACTAACGCACCGAAGCAAACAGAGTTGTTGTCCCCACAACGTTTTTACATTTCATCTTTAGTTTATTGGGCTGCACGGTGGTGCAGAGGAAGGCTTCAGGTTTGAATCCTGGCTGCAGCCTTTCTGAGTGGAGATGGCATGTTCTCCGTACACATGAGCAGGATTTCTCCGGATACTCTGGCTTCTTCCCCGTTACATGCATGGAGAGTCTGTGTCCCCAGGTGTGACTAGTTGTTTTGTGTCCCTGTGATGGACAGGAGACCTGTCCAGGTGTCCCTGTCTCTTGCCTGGTGACTTCTGGAGTTAGACACCAGCTTCATGCGACCCTAATGAGGAGAAATCAGGTCAGAAAATAACTGATTGTATGTTATTTTTGAATTTCTCCGCCTACATACGAGTAGTTTAATGAGCCTCCTCTGTGAGGAGGCCGGACCGCTGCTCCTCCTCTTCAAAGAGAGTCTTCTGAGGTGCTGCATCAGAACTGCCTCCTATCCCCCTGGAGGAGCCTTCTGGGGCACACCAAGAACTCACTGGAGAGGTCCTACATCCTCTCCTCCACCAGCAGGAATTGGGGAGTGTTGCTGGAGCCAGGAACGTTTATGAATGCCTCCTGGACCCGACCTTGGATAAGCAGTGGATGAAGTGTTTGCGGGTGTTTGGTATTTTGTTTACCGTATTTTCACGACCATAAGGCGCACCTAAAAGTCTTAAATTTTCTCCAAAATGTACGCCGCGCCCTATGGTGCGGTGCGCCTATTGTGTTGTTGTGAGACCCGAACGTAGTAGAAGACAAGGGGCGTGGCGTGAACGTGCGGACGTGCGCGAAGACAGACCCCGAATAGTTCAAAAGGGCAGGTACGCGCGGTATGCTGAACATTGTTCTGACAACCCTGAGAATGGCACCTGCTAAGAGACACGCCTATGAAGCACAGTTTAAACTGCAAGCGATCAGCTACGCGGAGAAACACGGGAGTAGAGCAGCGGCGAGAGAATTCAGCACTAATGAGTCAATGGTTCGCAAGTGGTGGAAGTTGGAAAACAAACTCCGACAAGTAAAGAAGACGTAGCTGTGTTTCCGCGGGCACAAAGCCAGGTGGCCTGAGCTGGAAGACCGCCTTGAGCAATGGTTAAATGGAAAAGGACAGCAGGGAGAAGCGTCTCTACCGTCACCAATCGTCTGAGAGCAGTAACGCTCGCACAAGAAATGAACATTGAACATTTTCAAGGAGGTCCGTCTCGGTGCTTTTGTTTTATGAAACGCCGTCATCTTTCCATCCGGGCAAGGACTACGGTGGCGCAGCAACTTCCAGTGGATTACAAAGAAAAGCTGTCCATCTTCCGCTCCTACTGCAGTAAGAAGATTGCCGACAAACACTTCCAGCCCAGCCACATCACCAACACGGACGAAGTGCCGCTCACTTTTGACATCCCGGTGAATCACACTGTTGAGAAGAAGGGGACTAGCACGGTAGCGATACGCACAACGGGACACGAAAAATCTGCTTTTACTGTGGTGCGGGTACTTTATTGAATGAAAACAACCATTTTCATGTTTTATATTTGAGATACACAGTTAGGTAGATCCCAGGTAATGTTTTAGGATAAATCAGAGACTTATTTTGTAAATCAAATCTTTAATTTAACTGAAATTACTTAAACAATAACATGAAGACCACCATCTGAAATTTGGGAGTGCAACCGGACTCAGCCCTTAAATTCGACACGCAAATCAACCAGGTTGTACGATCGTGTTTTTTTAACTAACGCCGCCTAGCCAGAGTTAAGCCCCTGCTGTCCAGAGTACATCTAGAGACTGTCACACACGCTTTTGTTCTTTCAAGGCTCGACTACTGCAATGCGCTGTATGCCGGCCTTAGTCAGGGTGCGGTAGCACGCTTGCAGTTAGCACAAAACTCACCCGCTAGGTTCGTGACAGGCACTAGGCGCAGGGAGCATGTCACCCCTGTGTTGGCCTCCCTTCATTGGCTGCCTGTGCAATACAGGGCACAATTCAAGGTCTTGGTGCCGGCACACAAGGCCTTACACGGAACTGCTCCAGCATATCTTGGCAACCTTTTGCATAGACACGCCCCCTCGCGGGCACTTCGCTCAGCCGGCAGGGAGCTGTTGATCGTTCCACGCACTAGTGCAGGTCACGGGGGGACCGTGCGTTCTCTGTGCACTTTGGAACCAGTTGCCTTTGGTGGTGCGTCAGTCACCCTCATTGGGGGTTTTTAAGACTCGCCTTAAGACCCATTTTTTTGTCAAGGCATTCCAGGATTAGCTAATTTTACCCGGTTTCGACGCCCCGGCCTCTTAATCTTTTTCAGGATTTTATTTTTTGCTTTTACTCTCCTCTTTTAATTGATTTTATGTTGGTTTTACGATTGTTATCTTTTATTCTGATGGTTTTATGTATTTATTGTGTTGTGTCCAGCACCTTGGGCGTCTGCATTGGTCGCAGAAGGGGCTTTATAAATAAATGAAATGAAATGAACAATAAAACCAGATGATGTACGTTTTCCAAGCACTTGTCCAGGAACACAAAAGGTGTCCTGCGACCGGTGTCCAGCCCGCTGCTCTACTTGTGGAGCCGTGAAGAGGCCCTTTAGTGAACTCTCGTGGTTGTTTTGATGGTGTTGAGAAGTCCCACCAGACCCAGGACGGCTCCGCGGGGCTCGCTGACCCTGGGTCGGCAGCTTTACTTAGAGGGTCTCCAGTGATGAACGTGCACAGCATCACCGGACACGGAAAACCTAGGAGGAGTGTGTGTGTGTTTTGGTTCCGTCTGTGGTGGTTTGTTTTTATTTTACTTGGCGGCCGATTGCATTCCCTCTCTGAAGAACAGCAGGACCGGCCCCGTCTGTCTTCTCCACCCTAATCCGTTCATGAAACTGATAGCGGCAACCTGCGTGTGTCTCATAACTCCTAAAGTAGCAGAGAATCATTAAGTCCCCGAGGATCGTTTCTGTCCACTAGTGTGTGTTTTAATGATTAAAGTCCAGCCGAAACACACACACACACACACACACACACACACACACACACACACACACACACACACACACAGATGCCGAGCTCAGTGATGAGAGGAAGGGTCTCCGTCTGTAACACACGTATTCAGTGTCATAAAATCTGTTTCAACTGATTATTTTTAGGATCTAAAAGAAAAACTAATATGAGTTTTACTACAAACAAGAAGCAACCTCCAGGGACAAATAATCTGTATTTTTATTTAAAGAAGTCCTTCACTCATATTTTTAATACATCTGCAGTGGTCTCTACCATAAATGACTGCCTTGTAAGTCATTCGGGGGGGGGGGGGGGGGGGGGGGGTCCGGTGCACCTGTATCAGCACAGAGAGCTCAGCCAGAGGAGAAAGCACCTTCAGATGACAGGATCTGGGGTCTTGGGACATCTTTCCTCTGATTGGCTAACAGCAACACGACTCTACCACTGACTCCAACGTTGATGTTCTATCTCCACTAATAAAACAAGCCTGGAGGAGTTCTGCTGTGTGGTGGAGTAGCTAATGCTAACAGTTAACTTCTACTAGCGGAGACGTTCTCTGCTGTTTCCTGGATGCTAAAGAAACAACAGCCTTCCCCGTCGTGAGTCCAGATGGGTGAGTTCGTGAGTGTTGGTGACAGGGTGACGTAGATCTGTCAGGATTTTCTAATCCTAGAGTTTCACCGTCTGTTTTCTATCAGAAGCTACTGCAGGAGATAGGTGTAGGAGACTATTTTCATGTTCAGCCTGCATGAAACACTCTGAGTGACCTGTTAGAATCAGGAATCATCATTAATAATGGTTTTTCAGTGAAGTACCTCTGTAAGTTCAGAACAAAGTCTCATATGAATGGGGGCGGGGCTTATGACTTGTCCTGCAGCCAGCCACTCAGGGGCCTTTTGGCTTTATTTTCTAAATGTTTAGAGTCGCCAGGGCAAAATCTGAAAATGTCTGAGTTTCTGTTATTTTAAATTCTATTTTAGGGTTTTCTCTAATTCACTTTCAGCACCAGATAAAAGTGTGAAAATCCAAATTCACTCAAACAATTCCGAATATGCTCCCTCCTTTTAAACGGGAACAATGGCAAATTCCTGTTACATTCCTGTGTTGACGTCTGAGCTCTCTTGGTATGCTCCATAAATGTATTTTTATCTGCCACAGCGGGGGCTTTCACTGCCTTTATCTGACCCGGTGTAGAATAACACGCTACGCTTTAACATCACACAACGCGTGGCTGTAAAACACGCCTCGTGTAGAGCATTTATAGAATAAAACTGATTATTTCTGTTGCTGCTGCTGGAGCAACAGAAATGACTTCGCTATCAGCTGAGATAAAGTGAAGTGGCGCAGAGAGACGCAGAGTCTGCTGCGTGTTTGCTTGTGTGCTTCCTGTGCATGCATGTAGATGAATACCTATGCATGAGAGCAGATGCAATCCCAGCTCTCATTTTACTCTGCACGGAGCAGCAACAGCCTCACATCCACAACACAAAGTCTAGCGGCAGTCGGACGGGAGGTGACTTTAAAAAAGACTCTTTGCTGCTTTCTGTCTCCGTGTTGTCCTTGCTTAGCCTCATGGAAACTGCTGTTAAAGCCCATAAACCTGAGGAATGTGAGGGAGGTGTGTGTGTGTGTGTGTGTGTGTGTGCGTGTGTGTGAGAGCTCACAGGAAAGAATATGATGTGCAGGTCGTTGTTATTTAGACACATTAAAGCTGTTGTCTCAAATCCAACCGGCCAGAAAAAATAAAAGAAACAAGATCAGCTCTTTAAGCTTTAAAGGGACTTTACGGAGTTTGAGTTTTTATGCTCGCGATTGCCCCCTCAGGCCAAAAGCGTAACGGCAGCTTCAATAGTAGGCTCGTGCACGAGGCGCGCATGCTGTACGTGCACACTCCTTAACGAAAATAACAACTGAGACAGTCCCGTGTGTGTGTGTGTGTGTGTGTGTGTGTGTGTGTGTGTGTGTGTGTGTGTGTGTGGCCCGGAGGACAGAGGACAGGAGAACGTGCAGCTAATTAATGAAATAATGTGGTTCTGTACCTTTCTCTTCAGCACAGCGACAAAGGTTTAAGATGGGTCAGTCCTCCTGCATGCTCAGATCATTCCCTTCCCTTGCTTGATAAATTGTTCCAAAATGAAAGTTGAACCCACATCTTTTTATCTGTGAATTCAATGCCGTTCGGCGAGTCTCAAATAAAAATTTGGGCTTCTTACTGTAAAAAAATATACCATTAATGTAAAAAAGAAACTCTAAATGAACTATGTTCACATCCAGAATCAAACCCGGGTCTTCTGCATGAGAGTCAGACATCTTACAAGGTGAGCTACACTCTAATAACAATCACAGTATCTGTAACATTTATATCCTTGATGACAGCTGAAACAACGTCAAACCAAAGAACGGTTCGGAGTGAAAATGGCTATTTTGTTGCTAATTAGCAGGAAATATCTAGAAGAAAGTTCTACAGAAAGTAGCTAAGGGTCCTCAGAAATGTAGCTAGCTTTGTCACTAGGCGTTAGGAACAGCGACAAAGTGGCACTGCCTCTCTCTCTGCTGCTAAAGCTACGGATAGCAAATGCTACGGGCGATGCCTGAGCGTGAACGCGCATGAAGCAGCCTGCTCGACCCGAGCATCTCTCTTTTTCTGTGATTTTACAGAAAAACAGGCAATCACAGTAAAAATGCCAGGGCTCATTCTACAGGACCAGGGCATTGCAGGAGAATGTATGAAGAAGACATTTATTATTTCTATACATGTTTTGGCTGTCACACTTCCATAATGTCCCTTTAAAGCAGGCGCTGCCCATCTGCATCGTTTACCAGGAAATAAAATCATCAAGATGCTGAACATTGCTTCCAGCCCGCCCGGCTTCATTAGAGGATGCTCGAGAATTTTGTCAACTTTAGAGTGTTGCCCATCTGACACGATGACATCAGCTGATCAGCGGGTTGGCTTTCTCTGTCAAAACTCGAAGGATCTCGCCAACTTCCATCCAAGCCAAGTCGTGGCCAGACTCGTCTACCTGGACGTCCAAACACTCGACTTGTCTCTGTCACCGAACCTGGCTGACGCAGAAATCCTAGCACCGGTGAGCTGTGCTATAAACACCCGGGCAAACGGAGGGAGACGGAGGCCTCGGAGTCACTCATCACAGCAGAGCCCTCCAGAAACAAACACGCAGTTTCCAGTTTTACCCCGACAGACGTCTCCAGAGCTCACAACCCCCTTAATCCTTCACACTGGCATCAACCTAGCAACCTCTGCAGAAGAGTGAAACCGAAGAAGCTCCACCCAGCGTGTCTTTCCTGTGTCCCCACAAACAAACAGAGGCCTTCATTTAGTCTGCGTCAGCATTAACTTTCACGTTCACTTTAAACGTTTTCACGGTTTGGTTTGTTTTGCCAGATTAGTCGAGTTTCTGCTCATAAACCCGAGCTGCAGCCCCACGGTCCACACGGCAGCACCGATTCAGCCCAAGGTTTTGTTGTTCTGGGAAATTTTCCCTAAAGATTGTGCTCTTTGTGCAAATTAAAAGGCTGGCCCAAAAAATAAGCACGTGCTAAATAAATCAGCGTGTGTTGCAAGTTGACAAGTGGCACCGTGTACTGTATGCAACCGACACCACGGAGGAAGAGGTGCTAGAATGTAAAACGTGGCCAAATTGCAAAGTTTAAAGTTCTCTGGATTTAAAATAAAAAATCTCGTCAGGCTTTGCGAGAGAAATGCGCTCAAGTGTTTAAATTCTGGCTTTTTACGACAACAGCGAGGCTCTGAGAAGAGAAAACTCACCCCTGGTAGTTTTGCACGTTTGTAATCACCAAAATCTTCTTTTCCTTTCCTCCCATGTCTCTCATGGATGTGATGGAGGAGTTGCAGTCCTCTCCTGTTGGTTTTTGTGTCCAGATCCTGGTGCTGGATGCTGCCTGTCCTCTGTGCGGAGACCGTGCAGTCCTCAGACTCACTGATCTAATGTGACCAGCACACTCAGAGGTCCTCAGAGACGGCCCAATGGGAAGCTGTGGACAGCCGTGAAGGGATAAGCTATGGGCAGGGAGGGAGGTGAGACAGGGTGTGTGTGTGTGTGTGTGCGCGCACATTCAGGGACCACAAACAGACCAAAGGAATTGCTCCAGGGAATGTGGTTTATTATAGCAGAATGGGAATGCCGGAGCGCCGTGTGTCACCACAATCAGGATGAAGATAGGAGGAGACACAAGTGGCTCATCGGCGTAAACAAAACACCACTTAGAAAAATGTCTCTCTGGGTCACTCGTTTAACCAACACATTTCCCTAGTAGGAATGCACGCCTTGGGGAAACAAAGTTCCGGTGCACCTTTATAAGGAACTAGAGGTGAGCCTCATCAGGGCTGAGCTTCAGACGACAGGATCTGGCATCTTATTTCCTGATATTCAGACATCTCTCCTCCGATTGGCTAACGGCAACACAACTCCACCACCGACTCCAACGTTGATGTTTTATCTCCACAAATAACACAAGCCGGGAGGAGTTCTGCTGTGTGGTGGAGCTGCAAACGGTTAGCTTCTAGTAGCAGAGACGTTCTCTGCTGTTTCCTGGACGCTAAACCAACAACAGCCTTCCCCGTCATGAGTCGAGATGGGTGAGTCCATGAATGTTAGTGACAGGGTGATGTTGATCTGTCAGGATTTTCTGATCCTAGAGTTTCACCGTCTGTTTTCTATCAGAAGCTGATGCAGGAGATAGGTGTAGGAGACTATTTTCATGTTCAGCCTGCATGAAACACTCAGACTGACCCGTTAGAATCAGAAATTATCATCAAAACAAGTTTTTCAGTGAACCACACCTTTAAGCGCATGTTTAACCCAAAAATCCACGTTTATTGGGTAAGGCTGTCTGGCTCTTTAGCAGCTAAATTCTTCACTAGCATCCTGAAGAGGTAACATGTGGCGTGAGCTCATCTCGGATCAGAAGGTAAAAGACTTGGCCTCCTTTAGATCAAAGCTCCCTGATATGGACACGGATCGATGATGGTGCTGGAAGTGTTTGTTTTTCAGAATAAAACCAACCACCTGAAAAAACAACAAATAAACTAAAAAAACTCATGAAACTAAACATGATCTGACATTGAGAAAAACAAATAACTGGTGGTCATGAGATTTTGGTGTTTCCTCACCGTCACCAGAGAAGAACTGTGTAGTTCACATGTGTCAGACACAAGGCCCGCGGGCCAGATGCGGCCCGCGGAGCATTTTTATGTGGCCCGCGAGATAAATATCAAAAATATATTAAAACTGGCCCGCTGGCCGATTTTACGGCAAAGACTTCTACTCCCATGACGCTTTGCGGCGTCAGCGCGGAGCAGACGCGCCCCCTCCTTTGTGTTTTTTCCAGTGCCTGCTGCCGGTGTCTGCAGCTCTGCTGTCTCGGACAAACTAAACACTCCTCTCACTCAGCGTCGAGTTTACTCAGCTATTTGCCGATGTTGAAGCCCAGAAACGGAGATTCTAGCCGCTCAGTAACGTGTTCACGACTGAAAGAGAAAGTTTTCCAGCTAACTTCCAGACAGAGCTGATATAACTCCAGTGAGCAGCGACACGCTCAAACCAGCATGACTCTGTGGCTGCTGTAGTTTTTATTTTTCCTCCCCGACACACAACAACATGGTCAAGCTGCTCAGACATGTTCATCAGCACAAACCTATGTGAGCACCTGTTGTCATCTAATGTTGTCATTATTATGATGAAGATGAACAAAACAACAGGAGTCTCCTCCTCAGCTCAGATCAACCCCATGATGCAGGTATCTGGCTGAAACAGGTGAGCACCACAGTAAACCAGTGGAGCAAACTGAGCTTTAAATATGCTGGTTTTATGCTCTTTTTCTGCTCCAAAACATGAAAGTTAACAGGTGAGATGTTGCATTTTCATCTAAGATAAAATTATATTTTTATTTTGTTGTTGGCCCGTGAGAAAAGATTTAACCTACAGTAAACAGGAAGTGGAAAGGCTGCAGATAGATGAATAGAATAGAAAATCCCTTTATTGTTCCTCAGTGTGGAAAGCTAGACGTCACAGCAGCGATGACACGTATTACAGGAGAAAAAAGGAGAATAAAAAATAAGAAAAATTAATAAACAAGAAAACATAAATCCTGAATAGATTTTAAAAATGCTGAATATACCACAAGTAATGAATACCACTGATGCCTTTTATTTAAAACTGACTTGCTCGTGTGTCATTTGGTTATTCCACATTCAGTGTTAATGCAGAAATATGTTTGTTTCCAACTTTAAGGGTTCAAAATTGCATTTATGTTGATAAAGAAAATGTGCAAATTTGCGTCACTTTTTCAAAAAATGTTAAGTTTGGCCCTCGACTCCGTCCCAGAGTTTCATTTGGGCCCCGTGTGAGTTTGACACCCCTGGTGTAGTTCAACCTTCCTGAGTCGTGTTTTGTTCTCGGTGAGGACGTTATGGAGCTGACTGTGTTTTGTTGTTTCATATCCAACCCTGGCTGGCTGAAACGTGTGCTACAAACACTTTTACAAGCTCCTGGCTTTATTCTGGGTGAAGACTCCAGCGGACTCACGTAAACCTCTACACGATCCCCAGCAGCTGCTCATAAATGGTTTTTACAGCGAAGCTGATGATGAAAAGGACTTCTTCTTAGACCAAACGCACCTGCTCTAACATGTCTGGTGGGTCGGTGCAGCAAACAGTTTACTGACCCAGAGGCAGGTTGTGAAAATGAAGCTTTCTGAAGGCTTGTAAACACCCAGAGATGAAGGGCGTCCTCGTAAAGGTGTGATATTAGCAGCAGACCAGCATGATGCTGTTTACCACCTTTGCACTGAAACGCTTTTACTGCTGCAGCGAAGGAACAGAAATAAACATTTGACTGCATCACTTCCTCCGACGGAGCCAGCCGCCCCTGCTGTTAAAGATAGGCACGACCTTGGCACGACCTTGGCAGGGTTCGTGTCACAGATGGCCAGAAAGGTTGAAAGTTATTCCAGAGTGTGTCAGGTAGAGGTTTTATGGCTCTGTGACGGACGTCCAGCAGGTGAGATGAATCTTGCTGGAGGCTAATTGCTCCGTGAAGGAAACGGTCTTTCAGTAAAGACATTTTGGACATGATGACTACCAGCAGAGCTGTCCTGTCCGCTGCAGGACAGCTGGTGTTGCAGAGGTATGTTTAATAGTGCTTCAAATAGAGTCGCCTACACAGGCAGGATGTGGGCAGGAGGAGGAACTTCTAGTCGATGAACACTAAGGATGATCAGGGATGAAGAAAGACTCCACCCACTTCTGGTTTGTAGTTATAACCTCGGATTGATATCTGGTTTCATGTTGGCGTAGCTGTGGTTGACTCACCTGCTCACCAGGTCATCAACCTCTGCAGAAGCCTGTTGATCACCTACTGATTAACTCATTCACTGCCAATGACGACTAAAGTCGTCATGTGCATGTTTTTACTGTGTGGGCGTCGGACGAGCCCCCGCACCGTGAGAACAAACATCTCAGCTCTAAAGCCGATCTTCATCCGCGTACGTCACACGTCACATGATCAGGAAGCAGAACATCCATGTGTTAGGAGATCGTTTTGGGCCGCTGCTGTAAAAAAAGTGAGGCGCGAACCGGAAAAGCTTCTGCCGATCACAATTCAACAACGGATTATGAAAGAACGGATAACGCTCGAAACGCGCGGATTCTTCCTGATGTAAGAGGTGAGGCTACGCTTTGTTTTGGTTGTTTTGGCGTCGACGTCATCCTAGCGCGCAACGTTCTGTGACTCTTTAAAAAAACAGTAAAGGGGACGTGATGATGTAACCAGAGACGATGTCCTGGACCGTATGTCAGAGCTTGACCGAACGGCTAACTCAAGGCGGTCAAATGAACAAGTCCTGGATCTGATCCCGCTCTTTGAAAAAAATAAAAAAAACAGTAAAAACGGTGAGAAACGCTGGCAGCGATTGACTTAAATCAGGTGTGTCGGAGCAGGGAAACAACTAAAACATGCTCATGACGCAAGGGATACATCATCTTCTCACCCATCCACCACTCCTACTCCAGGACTCTTCTATAACCGGTAACTCAAGGCATCAGAGAGGCACAGATCAACACAATCACTATTAGTGACCTTGCACCAGTCACCATCAGTTTCACCGTGCCCCTTGAGTGGTCCAGCGTGTGAACACCTTCGTCCCTGTTCATGGTCCTGGGTCCACGTCTCCTCATCTCTATTCCTGAACCAAAAACAAAGAACTAAAGAAATGAAACTGGATGACAAACACAGTAGGAACACAACAAAGATGTCGTCTGAACATTTCCTCAGAAGTTCATTCCTGGTTTTATCAAATTCTAAACTAAGCTTAATAGACTCATTTCCATAATTTGAGGTCAAAACCCCACTTTTACCTCTATTTAAAGCTCTGTTACTGTAAACATTTAGTTACGTGCTCTCTTTGTTCTGTTTACCGGGTGCTTCATCGTCGTCTGTTGTGTTTTTCACGACCATCTGCTGTTCTCTTGACCTTCTCATTAGTCAGCTCAGCCGTTGGTCTTGTGTTTGTGACATTAATCCTTCTCCACTCCTCTGCCGCCCTCGTGTCTCTACCTTCCTCCCTCGTGGAAACCCTCTTGTGCCGGTTCCTGTGAGGTTTAGCGAAGCTTTACATCTGTCCCGGTGTGTCAGTGAGGGCCAAATGTTTGCATTCCACCGGTGCTTTATTTAGCTCGTGCTGAATTCAATTATCTTGGGACGACAGCTCTTTTAACCCGGAGCGTCCCTCACTGCATCTGCCCCACTGATCCAGTTTAGTGCTTTATTTTGACTTTGGTAATAGAGACCTCTGTGGGTTTAATGGGTTGTAAACAGTGATGGGAATAACTAACGGCGTTCTTTTTCTGGGTAACAATAATCTAATTAATTACTTTTCCCACTGTTGCAACGCCGTTACCGTTACTGGGGACGGAAGGTTGTGCGTTACTATGTGCTTGTCGAACGTTGAGGTGCAGTGTGAGGCTTTCTGACCGCCACACTTCAGCTGCAGCCAGGGAGAGAGAGGTCGGTAACGCGCTTACAAACACGATGATGATTGGCCGGGTGGGCGGAGACCCTCACCGTCTCAGTCACTGCCTGCTGTAGACACAACAGAGCAGTGATGGGAATAACGCCGTTTAAAATAACCACGTTAATAAAAAATATTTCTTTCACTAACGAGCAAACTAATTAATTACCGTCTTCTTTCATCAAAACGTCGTTTCTGTTACTGATAAGGACATGCGTGCGTTAAGCAGCGCGGTGTGTTGAAGCTGTAATCAGCTGATCAGGAGCTGAAGAGGAGGATGTTTCCATCCAAGAGCATCACGGCCGTGAAGATCGAGGAAGACGTGATGAATATCTACGGCTGCAGGTGTGGATCTGCAGCCGTGCCCTTCTTAGCGTGACAGCGGGACGTCCCGAAGGTCCGCTCACCTGTTCACCGCTCAGACGTCCTGATCTTCTACCTTCCTAGATCATCCAGCTGTAACCTGTTTCTGATCATGTCTTTAGCCCCGCTGTAACACTGATGCATCAGTCTCAGACGTCATGGAGCTCAGGTGTTATCAGAACTACCTGTGTGTGTTCACCGCCCAGCTGCAGCTCTTCTGTGGTTGGGTCTGACCCAAGTTAGTAAATGTAAGTCCTCCATCAGGCTTGTGCCTCTTCTAGTGTCATTTTAAAGGATTTTATTTATTTATTTAACCGTTACTAGATTACCAGCAACAGAAATGCTGCTAAAACACACAATTATGTGAAGCTAGAAAAATTTAAATGCTGTACAAAATTACATTTATTTCTGTAATTTAACTAGACTGAGAGACCATTTAAAGGCTCAGGAACCTTTACATGTGTTTCTATTTGCTATTTTAAATTTTTGCTGATTGGGGTCTTGTTAAATATCACACAGTGACTTTTTAATAGTCTAGATAAGTGTAATGTCCCTGTTAGTAGTTCCTCCTGTTAAGTGCTTAGTTATTTAAATTATTCAGGTTTATAAAAAACATTTGAACATACATTTTATTATGTTCCAGTCATTTATATTTCACTATTGTAGTAATTTATAGTAAATTAAGTAAGTTCAATTACCGTATTTTCTGGACTATAAGCCGCTACTTTTTCCCACGCTTTGAACCACGCGGCTTATAATGAGGTGCGGCTTTAGTCAACCAGAAAGGATGGATGCTGGAAAGTCTAATGAAGGAACGGTTAAAGGAGCGCTACGGAAAGCGCCCAGGAGGATTTTTTTCACAGTAAAATGGCGCTGCTTGTTTTCCCAGCTTCACCCCGGGATGATGACAGCAACACGGAGAGCGACACTGACATCGCCACAGAAAAGATGTGTGACGAAGCTCTTCTGAGGCTGTTCAACTCCGACACTGAAGAAGAGGACTTCAGTGGTTTCAGAGCGCAGGAGGAAGATGAATAAACTAATCAATGACTTTTCTGTTTTGTTTGATACTGATCAGTTCAGTTACGTTCAGTTAAACTACGTTTTCAATTCAGTAGATATCTGCGGCTTTTAGCCCGGTGCGGCTTAAATTGAGGTGCGCTCTATAGTCCGGAAATTACGGTAACCCATTTTTCTAGCATTCTTTAATGAAAAAAGTAACTAAGTAGTTATTTTTCTTGGTAATTAGTTACTTTTATAATCTCGTAATTCAGTTAGTAACTGAGTTACTTTTTTGACAAAGTAATTAGTAATTATAACTAATTACTTTTTAAAAGTAACTTTCCCAACACTGGTTGTAAATATGTCACACGCCATGATTTTTGCTTGTGAACAGACTTCTAGGGTTCGACAACCCCCCCAAGGTGCTTTACAACACATCCAGTCACACACACACACACACACACACACACACACACTGGTGGTGATGAGCTACGATGTAGCTACAGCCGCCCTGGAGCGAGCTGACAGAGGCCAGTCTGCCATCAGCAGGTCAGGTGGGTTAAGTGTCTTGCTCAAAGACACAACAGCAGAATTGTCTGTCGAGAGCCGGGATTGAACCTGCAACCTTATGGTTACTGGACAACCCGCTCTACCTCTTGAGCTACTGCTGTCCCTAATATTAACGTCATGGCAGAGTGGGCGGGGCTCCTGGGCCACTTTGAGCCCCAACAAGGTTTTGTGTTTTACAGAGGCTAAAAGAACAGTTCCCCTTTTGCTCCAGTTGTTTAAATTTAACCTTTACACCTTCATCATCATCATCATCATCATCACCATCATCGATTTTCCACCCTAGATTAGAAGTCCTCGCCTCTCCAGGTGTTTAAAACCTGACTGAAGTTTCATCACAGATATCTGATGTAGTATTTTTTATGGTTTTTATCTTTTTGTTGATTGTTATTGTTGATCAGCATCCTCCACCATCACACCCACTAACCTCATGTCCTCTTCCACCACATCCATAAGTCTCCTCTCAGCCTCCTGCCTGGTGGCTCCAACCTCAGCATCCACCAATGTCATCATTATCTCTCCTCTGGAGATGTCCACAGCAGTCTGTCCTCTCTGACTTCATCACCACAACATCTAACACCAGCTGTCCCTCGGATGGACTCATACCTGTTCCTATCCATCCATCTTGTCCTCATGGACATTGTCTCTAAACCAGACAACATGGCTGCTCTCACTTCTGTCTTCTGCAACTCTCCTTTCATTCCTGCTGAAACCCTTTTATCCCTCCTGACATCCCAACCTGCTTCCACACCTCGTCTTCACCCTCTCTGTTGATTTCGACGGTAGACCCAAAGTACTTGAATCCTTTACCTCCTTTACTTCTACTCCCTGTAGCATCACAGTCCCACTTCTCATTTACACATGTGGATTCTAGATTCTCCTCGTTCCCCGTACCCATCTCCACCTCTTTAGCTCCACCTCTTCCTGCACCCGGCACTCACTGCAGATCACTGTCATCTACAAGCATCGTGACACTCCTGTGTGACATCTGTCAGCCTGTCCTTATCGATATGCATTATTATAACGTCTTCTCATAGTTTGTCACGACACCGAGCCAAAAACATCAGATTCAAAAATCTTTCCCACCTCGACTGCACGTGAGATCAAGAGTAAGGATGCACACTTTGTAGGCTGAAAGGCGACACATCTGACACAGATTTCTGGGGATGCACCTAATCTTGGGTGGAATCTATCAGGAGGCCAGATTC